ACATCCAATGTCACCGTGATACTTGGCCCCTGCGGTGTCTCGGCGAGCGAGACCCGCACTAACATATTACAGGGAGCGTCGCTGCGGGTATCCGGGCAACACAGGCCTGGTTGAGTACGAAGTTTTCGCTTTGTCACTCCGTATCAGTGGCACCCCGTAACAAACTACTAGGTAAAGAAGCACTGCTACATATTAGTAAGGACGAAAAAGTGTCTTTAAATGATCAAAGTGATTAACACTACTTAAGAAATCTGCTTAAATAGTTTATGACGTTTGTGATGAATATTGAGCTAAAAAACAGGTTCTTTTTAATTTTATTAGCAGAAGCGTTATCACAATGCACAAGTCATTAGTCAAACTAATAACATTTTCGGCGCTCAAAAAAAATACTTTCAGATGAGACCTCAAGTTCCTTTACGTAATATCAACAACATATTTGTTCATGCACTCCTATAACTTTCAGCTGAATCAGCACAGTCATTTATTTAAATTTTCGAAAAGTTTTAAAGAATAGCCTGATCGTTGGCCAAAATATTAACTTCGATGCTACTTAATGAACAGCTTTTATAATAGACTTGTTTTCATTAAATATAACATTGACAACGTACTCACACATGTTTTCCTGTAATTTCAGACTGAAAATTAAATTATTTAAAGTTATTGATACTGAATGAATTTGCTTTTCCATTAAACCTTTTAAGCTTTTATATTATTTTTATAATGTACTTACACATGTACTCACATCTTGTAGCTAAAAAAGCACTGCCATTTGTTTTTATGAGCAATAAGTTGTCTAAAAATGATACTAAGTATTGACACTGCTTTAGAAAACAGCTTGAACTTATTTTGAGTATAATACATTAAACTGTTGTTAAAATCATAAATAGGATATTTTCACCTTCATATAAAAGTTGCCAATGTTTAAAAAAGCTGTCATTAAATTTTTTTGTCAAATCATTGATTAAAATGCCCCAACTTGGAGCTTAAATTTTTTTCAAGGATTTTCCACAATTTTGTTTTTGTTAATAACTAAAACCGTCTAAAAAAGGTTCTCGGGGGCATTGATTACAAATCTGTCGTTTAAAATAGTGTAAGGTCAGTTGCATTTCATGAAAACTACTTTTAGTGTGACAGAATAGGGAAAATTTTAGTCAGTTATTAAATAGTGGAATCGAATGATCATTATAATCATATAACTGCAAAGTGGATGAACCGTTGAGAGATTTGTCTAGTAATGAAATATTGTACCCCTGGAATCAAGGTTATTTAAAAAAAATTTATTTCGTTTTCCTTGACTTCTCTTTTACGCAGAAAACATGAAAATAATAATTTATAATTGTAATACTTAAAAATAAACAAAAATATCTTTGTATATCAGAAAAGAAAAAAGAGAAGGATGTGTAAGAAAAACATTTTTTTACGGAAAATAGCTGTACACCCATCATTCGAGGGAATAAGTCACTGTATGGATAATAAGTCTATTATGTTCTTTATCGCTTTATAATAAATTGTTCGATGAAGTAAGGGACATTATATTACAATAAAAAATTTTTATGTAAGAAAAATGAGAATAACAGTACAAACAAAGCATCCAACAACATAATATTAAAAGCACTTACAAGTAAATGTAACCTTTATCAGATATCTGTAACTAGTAGAATTTAAAGGATGTGATGTATGCAAATTTTAAGAAAAATAATATGTTCAAGTTATTTTGAATCAAATTGTGAAAAACTGCTGTTGCAATTTAAAATTTTTGTTCATTGAGCACTTAGCTACAGAGTTTTAATCACTTTTTCCCTTTAAGTCCAATATTTCTCACTTACCGACAAAATCAGTGGCAAAAAAAGTATTATTGTTTAATTTTAAAAATCACCTGACTTGCGATCACAGAGAAAAAGTTATGACTGCGCAATTGATCATGATATATATCTGAAGAGAGATTACCAAATATTAATCTGACATATAAATATATACTGATATTCTGAAAAAAAATATTTTCTTTTATAAAAGGAGACTGAAATAAATCGGAACAAAAAATATATATTCACACATACATACATATCCGTACAAAAAAAACAGTATTAAAAAAATTAGTACGTCTGTCTCCTAAACGAAGTCAGAACAAGCTGTGTGATTTATAAAAGTCCACAATATTTATAACGTACAAGTTGCCAGAATAACTCAGCAACATGCAACTCAAACAGCAAGTTCTGTTGTCATTGAGATTTTTAGCCCTACTGTGGCAGAAAAAAGAACATACACACCAGTGAAAAAAAGGAAACAGCTCGTCAAATAATGTCGTAAAAGAAAATCAAAAACCTAAGTATTGAAGAATTGTTTAACAAAAGAGAAATATCGAAAGAGGTGCCAAACATGTACCTTTTATCTTTGAATGAGAAAAAAAAAACCAACAAATTTTTAACTTAAAATTTCAACGAGATGCCTATGCACTCTTTATCCAAAATTTCATACTGTCCCAGGTTAAACAAAAAAGACTGTTCAAAAAAGCTATGAGGAAATGATCAATTTATATCTAGCAAAAAATTAGACATATTCAATGTAACTATTTACAAAACTATTACGTCCTTTATGGTTCACCAAAAAAAGTAACGTAAATAATGACGTTACAATGATATGTAATGGAAAAACAAATAAAACATTGTTACAAGTTGGTGATAGAAAAATAAGAATTCAATATATGTAAAGCAAAAATATGTGTAAAAAAGGTTCAAATTATAATTATTTAATGAGAAATATATATCAGCATAACAAGTCATTACCAGGTTATGTATACACTGATACGTTATACCCTGGTTATATGGTATATACGTTATACACAGGTATATACCCTGATACGTTAGGTGTGAAGATGCAGTACAGCAACTCTATACACCTTCTCTTTCTTCATTAGAATGTGTTTTATTAAGGTGAATTTTTGAAGTGGAGGGGGGGCCAATAATACAAAACTTTTATAAAATTTTTGCAGAAAGAAGAACCAGAAAGAGTGTGACAAGAAACAAAAATGCAACATGATATTGCAACCAATATTCATCCAAGGACGGAGTGATCAGTGAGAGGAAGATCAACCAACCAGCAGTAACAAACAACTATCACCATTTATAAATATACTTGAGATTATTTAAACACGAGACCTTACTACGTATATACCAAATATAATTATTGTTTTTGTAAAGGAAAAAAAGGAAAAAGAAGAGTGCTCCTCTTGACAAAAATATACATTTGTGTGCAGAAATATAAATCAATAAATCGGTAAAAAACTAGTAAGTAGGTATGTGAATAAGAGCTGTTGATGTACTTGTAGTTTGTTAGATGATGCGTTAAATAGATAAATACTTGAAAAAAAGTACGTATGTTATAATAATAATGAAGTAAGGAAAACTTTTTTTATCATATTGTGTAAGAGATGGTGAGTAGGATTCAATGAATAGAGTAGTATATACGAATGTAATTACTAAAATACAAAAAAATCAGTAATGATAGTACTTGTAATAATAAAAAATAAATTTGTATTAAACAATTTATAAAACATCATGCGAGTAAATATCAGGTTAGAATAAGAGCAGTAAATGATGCTCAAATAATTATTAATAAAAGTTGAGACCTACGAGAGCATATTTATCAAGTAAGTGTGTAAAAGGGAAGAGCGCAAACACGAACAACATATGTATTTTTTTTACCATGAGCCGAAAGTGCAACTGCCGCTTTACGCTCTTATAATCTCTTTGGGCCCATGGGTAGAAAAGTTTTTTGTGCTCTGCGGGCCTAATGGTAGTTTTCCTACGAGTTTGAAAAGTCTCTGTTTGCGAACCGAGAGGTTTGCGGCCTGAGCCGAAGGCGAAGGACGTAACGAGGTTCGTAAAGGAGACTTTTCGAACGAGTTCCGGAAAACTGCTTTTTCGCCCGAGGAAGTACCAGCCTCCCAAAACCACCCGAGGGCGGAAAAGTACTTTTTCGCCCTAGGGCTCAAAGTGATTTACCGGGCGCAAAGTGTGCCCACGGGCACGAAGTTGCACTTTGGGCCCTTGACAAGAAAAACATTATACGTGACTCGGGCACTAACATACAACAATCGCACCCTTTGGGCACTCATGTTTGTACTTTGGGCCCTAGTGACGTAATGTACCAAAAAACTTGCGAGGAACTAATCAGAACATGTAAAAAAAAAAAGAATCCGGAATGTACATAAAAACACCTCATTAATTCTTTTTTACCTGGAAATGTTGACAACTTGCACTTTTATTTGAATTATAATTTTTTGTGTGTGATACTGTTATCTAAGTCAGTGAAAATAAAATGTTTCAAATTTTTTTTAATTCTTTCTGACTGGCCAGGCAATGTTGATAATTGAATTTAAGTTATACGCAAAATCTTTCGCCATTATTTAAAAACTTTTCTGTGCGCCAATTCTTGGGTTAGTAGTTTAAATCATCCACCACGCCGAGTCACGTGACGTCTCTGGAAAAATGGGCTCGTGGGCAACTTTTATGTGCAATTTTGTGCTTATATACACCAAAAATTTGGATCACATCAGGAACTTTCATTGAATAAAGTTGTCATTGTCAAAAAATATTTTTGTTTATCATTATTAAACTAGATATTTTATCAAAAATATCTATGAACTTTTTCCACTTGCTCCTTTGTAGACATTATATATTGAATACAACTCACGTATATGACGATATAAAAAAAAAAAACATGCTCATATCTATCAAGGTTTGTAAAATAATCGTATGTTTATGTGTAAACTGTTGTACTTACTACACTTTTAATTTAAAAATTTTTTTTATCAAGTCATAATAATATACCTAAGTCATTTCTGGTATAATTATTTGACAATGATAATAAAATTCGCTTTCAATTTTTACCTTGACTCTTATGAAATTTATTTTTCCTCTAACTGTCATAAATTTTTACCATTATTTACAAAATATGTTTATTTACATTTAGAGCATGAGTAGTTGAAAGAATTTAAGATAATGTTTACAGATCTTGGACCACAAAGTTCAGCAAAGCAAACTGAACTAAGTAACAGCAGTGACACCAACAGTGACAGCAAAAAAAACTGCTACACCTTATACACTGTCACATTCCACTACAGGTAGTGGTAATTTCATACAAACAGCAGCAATAGTAGCAGGGCGACCACTTACAGCGATAGCAACAGCGCCACCACTAACACCAGCAGTAATAGCAGTAGTGCCACCACCAATAGCAGCAGCGATAGCAGAAGTATCACCACCAACAGCAGCAGGAGCGCTAACACCAACAGCAGTAGCAGTGTCGTCAGCAGCAGCAGCAGCAGCGCCACCACCAACAACAACAGCTACAGCAAAAGCGCAACCATCAACAACAGCAGCGATTGTAGCAGCACCACCACTAACAGCAGTTGCAGTGCCTTCAGTAGTAGCAGTGCCTACAGCAGCAGCAGCAGGACTACAACTAATAGCAGCAATGATTGCAGGACCGCTACTACCAACAGCAGTATCAGTGCCTTTAGCAGAAGCAGTAGTGCCATCATAAGCAACAGCAGTGCCATTATTAATAGTAGGAGCAGTAGCAGCAGTGCCATCCGCAATAGTAGCATCAGCAGCACTTCCACCAACAGAAGCAGTGATAGCAGCAGCACAACAAGCAATAGCAGCAGTAGTACCATTACCAACAGTAGTGCCACCACCAACAGCAGTGCCATTACTAATAGCAGCAGAGATAGCAGCAACGCCACCTCAAACAGTAGTAGTAATAGCAGCAACGCCACCAGCAGCAGCAGTGACAGCAAGAGCGCAACCACCAATAGCAGCAGTGATAGTAGCAGTGCCATCCGCAATAGCAGCAGCAGCAGCAGCACTAGTACCAACAGTAGCAGCGACAGCAGTAGCACCACTAGCAATAGTAGCAGCAGTAGTGCCACCACCAACAGTAGCAGCGATAGCAGGTGTGCCGCTACCACCACTACAATCTTGACTTTATACATCGTATAATTCAACCTAAACGGGAGAATCTAAATTAAAACTACAATTAAGCACCTAATGTAAAAATACCTTTGTCATATAGAAGCTCTTATTTCTATATGCCTATCATTCGGAGCTACTTGTTACTTTCACCTATATTCTTCTAAGAGTGTAAGAAATTTTTTTTGACGGCGGCCACTTTAACTATTTTGCTTTATAAGATTAAACATAGACAAATAATAATAAAGATGCAGCGCCGTAAAATTGCATAGCAAATAATACGGTAGTTAATGCAACAAGCATCATCTTCACCACTACCTCCAACAACACAAACTCCAAACGTGATGATGTTGCATTAAGACAAAAAAGCACTGGATCTTCCAACACCAACACTATCGCGGCTCACCGCTATTAGTCATACAGTTTCTATATCCATCACAGACTTTGATACTACAGTTGAGGACGCTTAGTGATGTCATATACGATAAGCAACGAAAAACGTTTTAAAATCAATCATCCTCATGTACAATAAACTGCGATTAAAAAGAGTGTAAAAGAAAAAGAAGGAGAGAAAAAAAAAGTTTCGATTTAAAGTAAGAAAGAGTAGCAAGAAGTTGGAATTCTTACTCAGTTTAAACATAAAATAATTTAAAAACTGGATAGGAGTCAAGAAAAAGTAGCTGTGAAAAAAAAAAAAAAAAAAATAGAAGCTAAAATCAAAAAAGCGCATATAAAAGAAGTTAGAATTCAGAAGCAGTTAAACAAATCAAAAATTACATTCAAAAATATATGGATAAAAATTGATTGTCACTTTTCTATAGTATAGTTTGAATTGTAATATGAGGTGCTGATATTGTGTAATCTCAATATATTGTAGAATAAATGAGTATAATGTTTTATGTATGACAAAGAATACAAATAAATTCTACTACTCTCTAATTATTATATCTAAAATGATTAGAAAATTATTCAGTTTAATTAACAGTGAGGTCTTGAACCAAGCATTCTTGTTCTTATCGATAAAGGTAGCGATCTTATAATTACTTACAAAGCTCCTAATGTTTCACTATTATGCTTAACCTTTTTCTGAATTACAGTGTGGCAGGCGTTAAGGTCCAGTTCTGATTGGCTAAGCCATGTTGAAGCTATTTCACTGTGTGTAAGTATAGTGAGTAAAGTAAATTGTAAACTATTTTGACACTAAAAGTGTGTAAAAAAAAAAAATAATAGTAATAATAAAAACCAGGTGTGGGCCTTGAAACCCCGAGCAGAATTAAAACTTCTTATTAATATGTTATTCAACTCGGTATAATAAAAACTAAGAAAATTAGAGTAAACTTAATTTCAATAGATCTCTAAGAATCCCGTATGAAAATAGTGAAAATTTTAACATTATTACGTATTCGAGCACGCGTTTGTATAGAATACATATACCTTAATATACTGTTCCTGCTATGATTCACGCATTTTCAGTACTGTCATATTTGGTATAATATATGTAATACATGTAAAAATTGTTGGTCATATAATGAAGAATAAGTCTCAAATTTACACTATACTGCGTTGAAAGAAAGTACTTTTGTCCCATAACGTGAGACAAAAATTTCTTTTATTTGAAATTAATATTCGTGCATTCAAAATGAAATCATATGCGTACAATAAATTATTGTTGGAACCTTTGTATCCAACGAATAACAATTTTTTTTAATTTTGGCTATCATAAAAGTAAAATAATCCACTATGTCTTATTGAGATTAAGGAAAACAATAGACAAATAGCTATTTTCCATTGTCAAATTGTAATTTTTCATTTTATTTGTTTTCTAGAATAACTTATAATTTAATATTAAAATTCACCCTTGCTCAACTAATTTCTACTGATTTTAAAATCAATAGAAGGAATATCGATTTTAGTCACGTGATAATTTTTCTTATAATACATTATAGAGAACTGGAATTAAATTAATTTATAGGTAGGATACAGAGGTTGTAGCTTTGCCTCTAATATCTGACTTATTGTTTTCAAAATAACTACGATTATGTGTATGAATCCAGATAACATAATTATTTTTGGCCCATCTGGCTTTCTTTTCGAGATACGACTGTTTTTCTTATTTTTAGAAGTCATATTGTAACAAAAATTTTTCGAAAATTTTATCATCGTCCGTAGTTTTTTTTTAAACTTGCCATACTAACTAAAAAATTTTTTTTGACTTGTTCTTATCGAGATACAGTTGAAAAATCAAAAAATTGAGTTAATATTTGTTTTTGGTCCTACCCCCCTCTATTTGTACACTTTAATCATGTAGTACTCCCTTAGAGAACTTATAAAAGTAGTTATTTTGGGTCTATCTAGCTTTCATTTCGAGATATGACTGTTTTTCGAACTTTGAGAGGTTATGTTGTGACAAAAACTTTTTTAAGATCTTGTAAATGTCCATATTAATTTTTCAAACACGGTATACAAAAGAAAAACTTTTTTTACTCGTTTAGTACGATACCAGGGAATCGGGCACACAAAAGGAAGCACTCGCGACCAAGTTTAAAATAAGAAATATATTCAACTAAATAATATAATATTAATCTGACATATAAATATATACTGATATTCTGAAAAAAAATATTTTCTTTTATAAAAGGAGACTGAAATAAATCGGAACAAAAAATATATANTTTTTTACTCGTTTAGTACGATACCAGGGAATCGGGCACACAAAAGGAAGCACTCGCGACCAAGTTTAAAATAAGAAATATATTCAACTAAATAATATAAAATGAAATACAAAATATTACTCGCGGGTGTGTGTTTGTTCATGTGTATGTGTACGTACGCTCGTTAAGCGAGAATACTCGACGAGCACACGGCGCAAACTCGCGAACCGGGCAGACAATGTGGGCTAATCTAGGGCCGCTGCCCTTTACAATAAACTGCCTGTTGGCAGGTACTTACGGCGATGCGGGATCGCTCCCCGACGATTCCTCTCACAGGCCAAGTCTACACGGGAGCAGTGGAGCGGTTACTCTGATGTCAGTAGGCGTCCCTACTGGCAGCGTTCGAAGGCCGAGATCGACGGTATCGGCCTTGGTGACCCTGAGTCCGGCGACGCCTGCTATCCCAGCAGGATCCGGACACTCAGCACCAAGCACTGTACCAGGGACAGCTCAAGCACAGCTGCCACGACAACAATCCCAGGAACGGGGACACTCCAGAGGACGCGTCTCCCGTCCTCCAAAACGAAACTCGCTCCTCACGGGGAAATCGCCTTGGGGAAATTGCTTCTCGCAACCCCCAACAAAACCTCGCTTTACGCGCGTTTGCTGGCCCAAGCTAATCTGATCCCTTTTCGGCTTTTTCTTCCTTTTCCCTCTTTTCCTTACTGTCCTCGACGTTTTTCCCTTTTTCTTCTTTCCCTATCGATCCTAGTCTACCGATGATGGCTTGACGGTATCTCACCGACACAATATATACATACACATATACATATACATATGAAAAAAAAAATAGGAAAAAACGATTTTCACTCACTCGCTCGTTTCATGGGTTAATTTCCCACATAAGGCGTGCCAAATGAAGTTTCACTTGAAAAATAAAATTTATATGTATTATACCACACTGTACCTAACCCACTGAATTTGATATTACCAAACTTAGTTTTGTTCCCCCTCCCTATACAACTAATGTGATTGTATTAAATAGTAAAACCATCTTACTTTTAGATTACATGGTCTTGTTAGTGGTTCAAAGATGAAACTAACTTTGGCTACGGTACAGTACTTCAAACGAGCAGCTGAGAATATTTGACGTTTTTAAAAACGTATTTTAAATACAAAAGATAATTTCATGCTCGTAAGAAGACTGATGGATATGGATATACTTATCCAATGTTACGTCGTTTATACCCATTTTTGTACATTTACTTTTACATAATGTTTAACTTATTTGATTTTCTTTGGCTACATTTAACTAACAAAATTGTTCACAACTGTCAAATCTTTTTCACTTTACTTAGATCTGTTGCTTTTGACAAGTGACGCAACTTATTTAACATTATATCAAGGATGCAAACGATAATCGGTGCTTATCTTTGAGAGCGTAGAGTCAAGTAGCGATGCACTCGTACACTTATATCAAACCTTCAAATAATATCACCATACTTACTGATATTGTCTTCATCTCCTCTTTTTGCAACGCTTTGGTGGTTTAGAATGTGAAAAGAAGTATAGGTCCTTGTTTTTCCCTGCTGCATAAGCTGTGTATGGTGGTACAGGGTTCTCCTTGAGAGGCACAGCACCATTTTTTTAAGCGTTAGTGAAACAAACTATGTGTTAAGGCAGGTGCAACATGCTTATCCTAACAAAGTTATACTGCTAAATGTAAGCATTTCTCAAGTACGCTATTATGGGCTCCAAGTCGTTGATCAGTGCCATCTAATCTTTAGAATACAGTACTATGTATCTTGAGCTACCACCTCCTACCTTACGATAGGTTTATACAGCTTTATCGATGTAAATCTTGATTTAGTAGGATTCAGGCTTATTAGACGTATTGATGTTCAAGACCACCGCTGCTCAGTTTTAGATACGTGATCTACGGCAAACATGCTGACCAAATCTGCATGTGCCTCCAAATAGCTCGCAAAATCATACGTATGTTTATTATAATTCAACATCAAAAAAAATTTTTTTTTCTTTGTTTTTATCAGAAAAGATAGTAATATCGTTTATTTTTTCTCCAAGATCACTTTTAGTATCACTACTAGATTCTTTAATACTACCCTCATCGATAACATGATCTTTGAGGAGTCTACCCAAACTTTTTTTCTTTTTGTAGAATGACAGTACTTTAAAGAAATATTCCGTATCTCCATCAATAGAGTCACTCGCTAGCATAGATTTAAAATAAGTGGCTCTACTTCGGCAATAAGTGTAAATTCAGAACCAGTTTTTCCTGATTATGTGCAAGTAGTTATATATTTGCCTGACTTAACATTCACCTTCGTACCAGTGAATTCTATGCTTACGCATCAACTGACAATCGTTTTCTCGATGCATGTCTTCAGGTAGAAAGGAAAAAATCCATAGGGGCGCTATAATCCAATGACTGATCACTGGTTTTATGACAGGCACCACAGCCACTTCTTTTGGCAAAAACTCTCGGGACGCGTCATAAAAACCTTGTACATCTAGAACGTAGTCAGTGTGTATATCCATTTTTCTTGACTGAACTTGATAAGAAGCATGTACGTAGCGTACGTAGCGTCTGATGTCGACTACCAAACTGATCTGTACTCAGCACTGGGATTTGCTTATGTTAGCCTTATACAACTTTTTTTTCAGTTTTTTAAGTCATTGTTACATTTAGCGTAGATGATGCAATTCACTGTTGGTAAAGGTAAGGTCGAAACCTACTTTGATGCGTATACTACTTGAGTGCACGAGATTCTAATGTGTGCAACGAGCCAACAAATCAGATTATAGCAAGGAATAAGTAAGGACTGTAAGTACTGTAAGCAGTGATTTGATATAGGCTTTGTAAGGGCTTACATTATTAGGTGGTGATACTAACTTCTTGTTTTTTTTTGTTTTTTTTTTCATGTGGTGACTCTACTGCTGGTAAACTGAAATGAATTTTAGATTCAGCCAAGCTAGCGTCTATAACAATTGCGGCATATGCAGGGTGTATCAAAATTGATCCCGGAATATTATATGGTGCGATTAAGCTCGTTGAGATGAACAAAAAAGATGCTTGCACCTTTCCGATTGGATGCGTTGTTTAAACAATATGACAAATAAACTGTTAGCGTAATCGACCAATCAACGAGAGCTATGCGATGTCGGGGCGTGGCCTTACTTAGTGGGAAGAGAAGAGAGGCAAGTAATAATATATAGGGAATAGGGAATAGGGAAATAGGGAAACCACTTGAACAATCTGCAACCCACTTAAAACTTTCCAAAACTATTTTTGAAACGTTATGTTAATAAACACTCAAAACATAAATTTTAAAAATATAAACGTATAATATAATCGACATTGTTACAAGCATATCAGAAAACTTCGAAAAAATGCCCAAGTCCCTCTAAATTTTATGAACTAATTTTTACAGCTGAGTATTATCAATCTGTATTTTTTTGCAATGCTAAAATGCAAATATAAGGTATCCGACGCAAACAAAGAATTTTTTTTAAAAAAAGATTGACGTATGGATGTTTCATACAGAAATTGATATTTTTTTACCTTGAATAGGTTTGTGATTAAAAAATTTCTACTTGTATGGTAACACTAGAGCTAGGGGCCTAAGTTATTTTATTTCAAAATACGCATACCAATAGTGCTGGTATTTACTTTATACGCAAACAACCTTATAACATGTGAATGAAATGAAAAATTTCAAAGTAAAAGATTAAAATATACTAATTTCACGACGATACCGACGAAAGCAGCCTATAGCCTTGATGCATAAATATTTTTTACTAGCGTGGTATTATTATGGTATATTAGCTTAAGTATATGGTTGTTAGTGAAAAGAAAAAATTTGTTGTACAATTTTATATTTACATGTCAACTATGGATTTAATAAACGTGCGACAAATAAACTTTCAGAATTCGTTGTAAGTGTAGGACATAAAATAAAATTGTAAAAAAAGCAGTAGGAAATCTCTTTTTTTACTTACAACCACATACTGAAATTAACTCTAAGCTAGTAGAATATATTTATTATTGAAGACTTGAGGCTCCGTCCGTATTGTCATTAAATTTGTGTATTCTTATCCTATCCTTTAGAATTTTTGTTTTGTTTCATGTTATTAAGTTATTTGCCTTGTAAATTATAAGTAGCAATATTATTATATATATTTTTAAATAAAATATCTTAGTTCCCGAACTACAATGTTGCTTTGCTTGTACTAACACATAATGCTTTGAACTTTCTAATTATAAACCTATTTGAGATGAAAAATCTTAAATTCTATATAAAACAGCTATATGTAAATTTTTTGTTTTTTTTTTAATGTTCTTTGGTTGCGTAAGACGACTTAAGTATGTTTTTTAACATTGTAGAAAATTATTCATGTTTAATACTCACCAGCAGGAATCAATTTATAAAATTGAGAGCGATCTAGGCGTTTATCAAAAAGTTTTTTGACACGCCGTACGCAGGGACCTCGATTATGAGCCATCTATTGTGGCTCTAAAGACCGCAATTTACACACGCAACTCACAACTTGTACTGCGCACTCATGCCAGTGCGTGTGTACGTCGAGATCTTTGCAGAGCTACATTAGATGGATCATTATCTCGTTCCCCGCGCACGATTGGGTGTCAAAAAGTTGTATACACCACACGTGCGAGAGGTTGGGTGATTGACACATTCGTGTCAGTTTGCACACTCACTAGCGCTCGTGTTAGTAAATAGTTGGTAACTAACCATAAATTTGTAAGTTAATGCACTAGATTAACTTCGGATTTAGACAAAACTATTTTTCCTATACTCCTGGTGAAATTTCGTAGGAAAATGATCAATTTTTTCTCTACTGAAAAATATAAGATTGTATCATATATTTTTTTCCAGCAATCAACTAGAAAGCCACTTTTACAGCTAGCGCAGTCTGTGCAATAATGCGATGTGCGAGAAGCGGAGAGAGACTTATACGTTATATGTTGAATCAAATTTTACGTATACATTTACAGCGGCCGCTGTAAATGTTTAGGTATAGTTCTGATAGTACGTGGCGTGGGGTAAAGGAGCTACTGGTAGAGTAAAACCGAAGGACGCTGAACAAAAGAGAGTCGTCGAGTCGCTTGGTACGCACACACGAAGAGAGAGAGAGAGAGAGAGCTGCGTGCGGCAATGTATATAGATTTTTACACGGCTGTATTACTATAGTGGGGTCAGAAAAAAGTCTTGTTACACTTTTTTCGGTCACGTCCCGATTCACCCAAAACTCATACAGTTGTGTCTCTTCTATACATAAGGGCATCCAGTAACATGGCGACGACATCCATGTTGTAAGCTGCACCGTGCGTTAACATTTAAATTGAAAATTTTCATTAAACATTATTTGGGCTTGAAATAATGGTTACACAACAAAGTTCTTATTTTTAGCTATCGAGGATATAAAGGATGTAATCAAAAGATTTAATAAAAATAAATATATGTACATGTACAAAAAAATGAAAGTATTAGTAACACATAAACGATAATCTACAATTTCGTCTTTAGGTGTTGCATTTATAAAAAATCGAATACGTAATTAAAGAAGTATCAAAAGTCAATTCCGCATACATGTGTTTATGATAGTACATATAAATATGTCAACATTACTAAATTTTGTGCACTTGCAGCTGGTTTAATGCTGTAGGGTGTATCTAACTTAACTCGTACGATAAGAAGCATATGCTTTTTTAATGTTCATTTAAACTCTTTTGAAGTACCTAAAAATAATTTTTATTTTAAAAACAAATAAATTGGAAGCAGTGACATGTTAAGAAAAAAAAATAAAAATAGTTAAAGAACAAAGATTTTTTTATTGAAAAAGTAGAAACAAAGTAACAAAATCATTGACAGTGTTTTTCGTACATCTTATAATATATACATTATTTGGATTCTGTCCAATGTTGTAATCATAAAACCCAATTATGTTGGAAAAATAGTAAAATAAACATTTAATTAAATAAAACGTTTATGCTTATTTCAAAAAGTATTAATTATGATTTAACATTATGTGTTTGGCATGTCTTTTTTAGATTGTAAAATGACGGTTAATGAATTTTAAAGTAATAAAAGGTACACTCGAGCAAAAAGT